ACCAACGCGATGCATACTACGTCATGAGAATGTCGATGTCTCGAAGTATTTAATGACCAAAGTGTGGGTAACTTTTATGGTTGTAGGCTGTGGCTCCTTATGCTTATTGCTGTATGTAGAAATGTCCCTACGAATTAAGCGTCGCATTTGGCTAATGAGTTCGTGAATATGTATTTTCTTAATACCTCTCACACTATGGGAGGGTGCAAATTTCAAGCCAACTCAAAGAGCCTCAACTAAGTAGACAGCGCAATAACAAGTTCTTTTGAAATCAGTGTAAAAATGGAGCCGGTCCATTCGTCAAATTGCCACTGAAGTTACTACTCACCATGATCAAGTTATTTCTATGCTCAGTTTTCTAAGCAAGGAAGCGGGTGGGTTCATCGTAGTGCGTTGATCTGACTTTTAGGCAGGTGCGTTCTTGTATTGTCGTGATTTGTTCCTTTGAGGACGCTGTATGCACAGCATCATTGCCTCTAACGGGTAAACGGTCAATGCGTTGCCTGGCGGTTGGTAAACAATTCTTCCCCCATGCAAGTTGCAGGTCTGTCATTGAACCTCTTCAATCTTTTGCAGTGGGTGACTAATTAAAATAGTTCAGCTTCTGGAGAGTTGTTGTACTGACAATGCTGGCCACATTTACGCATTCCTGATAATTAAACTGCTGCAGAGCACAACCCAGAGCGGGAGCTTAAACGGAGTCCGGATTCATGATTAAAGCTAAAACCTGAATTTAAATCACTGAAATAGATGGCAACAAAATTATCATGCGAACTAACGGAGGAATCAAAATTTTCGTCATGCAAAGTCAAATGAGATTTGTAGTTGTACCACCATATCCACTACTCACTATCGACGTAATGTAGTGACTTTCCTGCTAAATAGTTTGCAAGAGATTGACCATCTTTTGACACTTGCTTTATTTTTAAATAGAAAAGCCTTCACTTCCCTAACAAAATGGATTTTCCATGGCTGATTACACGAAAATAAAGCCGATGTATCCAACTGCAAGGTCAAGTAAATCACCATCGGGAAATTGAATCTGATCCATGATCCATTTCTCCTCTCCAGATGGAGCATCTCTATTGCCAACAGAACAGCCAGGGGAAAGAGATGTGGAAGATGAGGACAATAAGACAGTAGGCTGCTGGTCCTCTGAACGAGGAACAAGGAACACCTCGGAATCCGCCTATCACGGTGTCTCCCCGTTCCTTCTCTGGCCAGTTCCCGACAAGCCACTGAAACAGGATCTCAGCGCTTGGGAATTGGTGAGATTGTCTCTGTGTTATTACCGCGAGTCTTGTGAAAAGGGGGGGGGGGACACCCCTCCAGGACAGGCATGCACACCAGTGCCCCCGAAACGCGGAAAACTAATTGCTCTTGAATGCTGTGCCAACATTTAGGGAAGCTTAATTAGTCACAAGAATTACTCCCCATTTAGTCTTACCAAATTCAGTTGTGAAGTTATATGGCGATGAGAGTAAGAAGTTTATGCTATGCTTGAGACTCACTGTTCTCAATGTGGCCTGATCACAGGGACGCGTCAAACGACTGAAAAACTCAATAGTGTAACAGAGGGCAACTACGACATCCTGTGTTTATATGATGGGGAACAAAAATGCGCACTTTTAAAGTTCTGCAACAAAAGCCGTCAAATTAGGTATAATCAAGTCACTAATCTCAACTCCTTAAGAGTATTTTTATCCTACAAAAAACAAGTTTGCGATTTTCTGTTGGATGCGGTTATTGGTTGCGATTGTGACCTAGCCACAAAAAACACTTCAGTAACATATGTCGAGGAACAGTATTCCATAGGACCCTATCCCTCACTCTGTCTCTGATTCCATCTGTTTATGTTTTTTTTCGCCCTGCGATGCCGGCTCCTCTGCCAGACGGCAAACATTCATGTGTTGATTAGCTAACAGCTCCCTCCTCCTCCTCCTCCTCCAACGAATCTATCACCCTAATTAATGTGTATTGACCAAGACGTCCATCACTGATGGTCTCTATGTCCTTCCCCTTCCTTCGAAGTAGCTCGGAATGTTGGCGTATTCCTGCCGCAAGCCGGAGAGAGTCACAGTGTGCGCCAACTGTCAAACTTCAGCAACCACTCTATGGAGAAGAAACGCTGACGGTGAACCCGTTTGCAACGCTTGTGGCCTGTACTTCAAATTACATAAGGTGAGAACGCATATTACCGATTGAGGTTTGGACGTATTAATTACATAGGAGAGCTCAGGAGGGCGACTACCACTGAATGGGGAGGGCAGATAGCCCAAATAATGGGAAAGTAGTTTCTTTCATTAGCCCAATACCCACATTATCATGGTAGACTACAAAAGTTGGCATTTTCTAGAGCTACTAAATCCTTTTCAATGGCTCCTTGAAACACCATAATGATGCGTTATGATGCCATGAGTTATTACAGAAGCATCTTTGCGACATTGCCGAGGGAAGGACATTGAGGCCGTAATGTTGTTCATAAATCGTGGCAGGGTAGACGGGTTTCCCACATCCTCGTTGACCTCCACAGATTAAGTTATTCGTGCCATCTACGGTGCGAGATCGACGCAGCAATAACTTCACAGGCCTTAGCCACAAACGCTGAAATTGCTTATGTTTAATGCATTGCCAGGTTGGGATGAAACGAATGTCAGATAAATGATCTTAAGAAGATTAAAAAATCGTCCTCCACCAAAACATTAACAATTCCTCAAAGTTGTATGTAGGACACCTCCTTTGATACCTAGTCTCCGAATTTAATGGCTCTTTTCTCCCTGAGAGGA